AGTGTGGATAATGTCAGGTGTGGTGTGGGTGGTGCTGCTGGTGGTGCTGCTGGTGGTGCTGCTGGTGGCTGCCCCGGCACAGTCTGTAACGTACGCTCCAGGTAAGATAACTTCATTCATCATTGTTCTTCTTAGAGTAAACATATTCATTTTAGTACAACATGTAGACAATGTAAATGGGCCCCCATCGTCAGCACTTGCAGTGATCATACCTCGTGATAACTGACACCATGTGTGTGAGTGCAGGTGCTGGTCTAACTGGCAGTCTTCCTGTGCTCCTCAACACGTCAGAACATTACTGAACATCGCCTTGTAATTCCACTAGCAGTGAAAATTAATATTGTCACACTAAGTTCCTTTGATGTTTACAGGGAGTGTCTTTGTATATATTTTGGGAATTAAAAAGTAATTTATTGATAAAGGGAATCTTCAAATTGGATTATAACACTTAAAGAATGCATATATTTCCTCAAACATCAAGTGAACAGAAGACATAATTTTTCCACTAGAAATGACATCAAATACCATTTTATATTACTATAATGATCCTGATGTTGGTGAGGGGCTTCCCCCTTGATTATAATAATAATAATAATAATAATAATAATAATAATAACTATAATGATCCACAAGTGTGCAGTTTAGCACATCAGCTGAGAGGATTCTTAAGTGGCACGTCAGTTCCCACGTCTTCTAATAACATATTCATTTTCCCTATATAATCTACCTTGTTCATAATTACTATCGCATTTGGTTTGTCTGTTTTTGTAAAGTGAAGTCTAGGATTTTTCCTTAATTCACGGTATAACGTAACAAAGATTTGTTAAGTTATACCGTGAATTAAGGAAAAATCCTAGACTTCACTTTACAAAAACAGACAAACCAAATGCGATAGTAATTATGAACAAAGTAGATTATAGTGGGAAAATAACATATTAGAAGAGAGGGGAACTGACGTGCCACTTAAAGTGTATCATGAATATAGTGCCCCAGACTCGCTCAGAATGTTCCAAACTGCTCTAAGAAATACAGGGAACATGAAGCAAGAATTTAGACAACAAGAATGGGAACAGTTTGTTAGTGGGTTAAATAAGTGTACCTCTTTAAGTCTGGCTTGGAAAGGTATGAATAAAACTTCCTTGAAAAGACTGGTAATGTTGCTCACCCCTTTCCTTGTGACAAAGTAAATGACTTCACAAATAACTAGTCCAAAACAGGAAGGCATGAAAATGTCCCGTCTCATATTAGGAAAAAACCTAGAGAGTGCTTCTGGAGGAAGGTTGAAAGTGATTAATTTTATAAGCCAAAATACTGATGAGAGTGATTACCTCTTCAGCGGGTATGAATTAGATAATGCATTAAATCAAGGTGGATCAACCGCTCCTGGAGAGGATGGTAAACTTACAAGTTATACCATCCGAAGATATCATAAGACTTATGATATATCATCAGTCTTATGATATCCCCAGAACTCTAAGGCAGACTCCACCACGTCTTGTGCTGAGTGATCCAAATAGGTTTAGCACTTAACGTGAATAATAATAATAATAATAATAATAATCAGCTAAAATTCCAAACATGTCAGAAGGCGCCTCCTGAGGACATTCGTACATATATGAATCTTGGGTATTTCCACTATTTTTTTTATCTATGCTCTATAGATCGCATGAAGAGTCTGTATTTGGTGACATAAAATCCTTGATTTATAAATGCAGAAGAGAGAAATGCTGTAAAATACCAACAGAAAATGAGAACCTTTTTTTGACAACGTTTCTCCCAAGCAGTTTTTTAAGCCATGTGATACAAAAAAAAACTACCTGGGCGAAATGTTGTCAGTAAACTATCTCATTTCACTGCTTTTGTCTTTCTGTTTCTAGAAGAAAGCATTAGCGATAACAAGTAACTCAGTTAACAGTAGCCCTGGATGAACGTCAGGGTTTAGCGCTTCCCTCTCAATGTAATTGTATTTCCGCTTTGTCAGGAGAGAGAAAACATTTGTTTTCAACAAACAACCAACTTAATGAGACCAGAAAATATTAACCCGCTTAATCAGGACAGAAAACAATTGAATTAAAAAAAACTCGCTTCATTATGACAGAAACATCAGTATTAAACAAACACCTGACTTAAGACAGAAAACATCTGTATTAAACACCTGACTTTAGAAAACATCTGTATTAAGCAAACACCTGACTTAAGACAGAAAACATCTGTATTAAACAAACACCTGGAGTTTACCTGGACTTAAGACAGAAAACATCTGTATTAAACAAACACCTGACTTAAGACAGAAAACATCTGTATTAAACAAACACTTGACTTAAGACAGAAAACATCTGTATTAAACAAACACCTGACTTAAGACAGAAAACATCTGTATTAAACAAACACTTGACTTAAGACAGAAAACATCTGTATTAAACAAACACCTGACTTAAGACAGAAAACATCTGTATTAAACAAACACTTGACTTAAGACAGAAAACATCTGTATTAAACAAACACCTGACTTAAGACAGAAAACATCTGTATTAAACACCTGGCTTCACACAGTGGGTGCATCACATAAAGCTTGTCGGAACTCGCACACAATACCAGTTCCAAGTGTAACTCTGGTAATTTCATTTCGGAGATGTGTCACCCACACACTAACTTCTTCAGTTAAGTCAGGTAAAAGGACGCAAGTGCAACAAATGTAACATTTAACTGTGGGAACGTTTAGCTCTCCAGGATGTTTGTCAAGCCGTTACAAAGAATACATGGAATAGGTATTGGTATATATAGGTATAGAGTGAGGTATAAAGTATATATAGGTATATACTCTATATTTATGTATACCTTCTGTGTCCATGTATTGTTTGTAAAGGCTTGACAAAGCTCCTGGAGAGCGAAACGTTGCTACAATAAAATGTCGCATTAGCTGCACTCGTCTTCTTTTACCTAACATGTTGTTAATTCTACCAACATTATTACAATTCTTCAGTTATTTACAGAGGCAATTACAACTAGAAATAGCAGGAACAATGGAAAGGCGATGATAATGTAATCAGTCCGTCAGTCTTGACGATATAGCAGCTGTTAACATGTTGTACATTACTGTTGTGGTGATATTCCAGTTCCTAGTTTTATTTTTTTTATGTATTTAATAATTTCATTTCTTTATTATTAACTGATACTCGCCGTTGTCTGCAGGGCGCCTGTGTGTGGCCGAGGGTGTTGACTGCTCGCGACTGAGACGGGAAGTACCTGAGCTTGACTGCACTCCAGTTAGAGACAGGTAACTGTTGAATGTGTAAGAGAAAAGTCTTCTTATACCTGATGCCTTTGCCTAGCAGTAAACTGGTACCTGGGCATTAAAAACATGTACTTGTCTCACCTATTTTTAAAGCTACACAAGATTTTAGCTTCAATGACGCTAATTGGGAGTTTGTTCCACTCATCCACAACTTTATTACCAAACAAATGCTTTCCTATATCCTTTCTAAATCTATTTTTTTCCAACTTAAACTATTGCTACAAGTCCTGTCTTGGTTAGATATTTTTAAAACGTTAGTTGCATCCTCTTTATTTATTCTTGATTTCTCTTTATGCACCTCAGTCATATCATCCCACTAATTCTACGCCTTTCTAGAGAGTGTAGATTCAGGGCCCTCAGTCTACCTCAATCTACTCAATCTACTCAGTATCCCCGGCCGGAAAAAGGACGATGAAGACACAGAAACGAGCTTTTTGCACTGGTTGCCGTTGTCCAGCGGTGAGAGTAGCCACTCTCATTGCTGAGGTCCAGGTAATAAACCCTGGAGATTAACATTAACATCAGTCTACTCTCATAGAAAACATTTCTAATACAAGGCATCAACTTTGTCATCATTCTCCTTATGTTTTCCAACGCATTTATGTCCATTCTGTAATACGGTGACCATAACTGTGCAGCGTAATCAAAATGAGACCTAACCAACGATATACAGAGTTGAGTTGAAGAATAGCCTGGGGACTCCTGTTATTTATATTTTTTGATATGAAGCCAATCATTTTATTAGCTTCATTACAAACATTTACGTACTGTTGTCTTGGCTTTACATTACTGCTAACCAGAACTCATAAATATTTTTAGCGTTCAGAGTGATTATGGTCTACATTATTGAGTTTATAAGTACCTTGATTATTTTCTTTCCCAAGACTTAGAACTTTGAATTTGTCTACATTAAACTGCATCTGCCATTTCTCCGACCACTGCATCAGTCTATTCAGATCTTTCTGTAGTATTCTAGCGTCCTTGTCAGAATTAATCAGACGGCCAACTTTATTTTTGCCATCCGCAAATTTGCTTATGTTGCTGTTGATTCCCTCATCTATTAGTCCTTAAACATGCTTCCTTCTACCCACTTATCGGTAAACAAGTACCAGGTCTTAATCTCACACTTGCGGCCCTTGTTCGCCTAGTATTACGTAGGCACCTGGGTGTTTGTCTCAGCGAACCTTTTGCCTGTGTTCACCTAGCAGTGAATAGGTAGCTAAGTGTCCGTCAACTGTTGAATGATGGTGGGTGAGTGGTGTTTGGAAAGTGTGTGACGATAGTGTGCATGGATGGTGTGTACGGGTGGTGTGTGTGTGTGTGTGTGTATGTGTGTGTGTGTGTGTGTGTGTGTGTGTGTGTGTGTGTGTGTGTGTGTGTGTGTGTGTTGTGTGCGCGCGCGCTTACCTAATTGTGGTTTCAGGGGTCGAGGCTCAGCGCCTGGCTGTGTGTGTGTGTGTGTGTACTCACCTAGTTGTGGTTGCAGGGGTCGAGTCCAAGCTCCTGGCCCCGCCTCTTCACTGATTGCTACTACGTCACTCTTCCTGCTCTATGAGTTTTATCATACTCTTCTTAAGGCTATATATGGATCCTGCATCCACTACATCACTTCCCAGACTATTCCACTTCCTGACAACTCTGTGACTGAAGAAATACTTCCTAACATCCCTGTGATTCATCTGAGTCTTCAACTTCCAACTGTGACTCCTTGTTGTTGTGTCCCATCTGTGGAACATCCTATCTCTATCCACCTTGTCGATTCCTCTCAGTATTTTATATGTCGTTATCATATCCCCCCTATCTCTCCTGTTCTCCAGTGTTGTCAGGTCGATTTTCCTTAACTTCTCCTCGTAGAACATACCCCTTAGCTCCGGGACTAGTCTTGTTGCAAACCTTTGCACTTTGTCTAATTTCCTTACGTGCTTGGCTAGGTGTGGGTTCCAAACTGGTGCTGTATACTCCAATATAAGCCTAACGTACATGGTGTACAGGGTCGTGAACGACTCCTTATTGAGATGTCGGAATGCCATTCTTAGGTTTGTTAGACGCCCGTATGCTGCAGCAGTTATTTGGTTGATGTGTGCCTCAGGAGATGTGCCCGGTGTTATACTCACCCCAAGATTATATTCCTTGAGTGAGGTTTGTCGTCTCTGGCCCTCTAGACTGAACTCCATCTGGGGTCTTCTTTGCCCTTCCCCAATCTTCATGACTTTGCACTTGGTGGGGCTGAACTCCAGGAGCCAGTTTCTGGACCAGGCCTACAGCCTGTCCAGATCCCTTTGTAGTTCTTCCTGGTTCTCGTCCTATTGAATTCTTTTCATCAGCTTCACATCATCTACAAACAGGGACATTTCTAAGTCTATTCTTTCCTTCATGTCCTTCACATATATCAGAAACAGCACCAGCCTATGACTGGCCCCTGTGGAACCCCGCCAGTCACAGGCATCCACTCTGACACCTCGCCACGTACCATGACTCGCTGTTGTCTTCCAGCCAGGTATTCCTTGATCCACTGCAGTGCCTTCCCTGTTATCCCTGCCTGGCCCTCCAGCTTTTACACTAATCTCTTGTGTGGAACTGTGTCAAACACCTTACAGTCCAGGAAAACGCAGTCTACCCTCCCTCCCCTCTCTTGTCTTACTGCTGTCACCCTGTCATAGAACTCCAGTAGGTTTGTGATGTGTGTGCTGATGGTGTGTGTGTGTGTGTGTGTGTGTGGGTGGTGTACCTTAGATATATACATGTGATGGATTTCGAGAGGTTTTCGTACTTCCACAGCCTGGCTTGTGGCCAGGCTTTTCTGTTGTTTGACTGGTCAGCCAGGCTATTGTTGGTGGCCGCTTGCTGGTCCACATACCCATAACTGCCTAGTTGATCTGGCTCTTGCCAGAGGTAGTGATTTGGTTTTCTCTTGAAAACTTCTACACTTGTCCCAGCATAACTTTTGATCTCTGCTGGTAGCAGGTTGAAGAATCTTGGACCCCTCAAGTTGATACAGTTTTCGTTTATTATGCCAACAGCACCCCTGCTTTTCACTGGATTTATTTTTCACTCTTACTCACGTACATTGTTACGACAGTGTGCAGGTTTGGGACTAGGCCCTCAAGTATTTTCCATGGTTGTATTATCATGTATCTCTGTCTGCTCTGCTCCAGAGAATACATATTCACTACTCCGAGGCATTCGAACAGTTTCAATGTTTTATTGGCTCTGTATGAGCAGCAAACAAGCTCTTCAGCTTCTCCAACTCATATCTTTTCTGCCTTGACTGGAGTTCATCATTGGTGTTATTTCCTTTGTTTTTAAAGTTCTCCTTTTCTCCGGTTTTCGTGACATTTGCCTTTTATTTTTCTTTAAAAGATAAGTCAGCAAATATTATGACACCCAGGACTTTCACATGTTCCTTTCGTTCTATTAGATGTTCCTCCTGCATTTTACATACCGTGCCTTATTTAAGTTTTTCATTCTTACCATATTTGAGCAGTTAGAATTTGTCACCATTGAACATAATATTATTGTCTACTGCCCACTGGAAGACTTTGTTTATATCCACTTGCAATTGTTTTTACAGCACCAGGACCGTGGCTTGGGGTATTGAGAGTTATAGTTTGCTAATGGTAGACTTTACTTCGTTTATTACCACTTTTTTTTATTACCTTCATCTGAATATTGAATATATTTTGACCTCTTTTAACGCACTGTCACTCCATGACCTAATTGTCAAATGCCTTAGCAAAATCTGAGTGAATTACATCTACTTTTCAGTTTTCTTCCAGTGCCTCCGTATTTGTTTCACAATGGTTAATTAGTAATAGTTATAGTCCCACACCAGTAATCTGCCATTCTTCCAGGGAAGAGCCATGAAGATGGTTAGCAGGATTACCGAAATGGAGGGATACTAGAGATTAGATCTCTGTAAACTTCAGGAGGGAAGAAGAATGGGAGGAAGGTAGGGAAGGGTTACCTTTTTTATTAAACAAAATTGTATACATAAGCTACCTATTCCATATAATAACTACACAGCGGGAAGAAAAGTAACTGTTTCCCTTGTGAAAATTTTTCCTACTTACTGTTGTTAATTACAGCCAATCTGTCACTCACGACCCGGCAGCCACCTCATAAATCCTGCACAAATGGGCTGTCGTACCAGGTATACTGGACACTGGTTATTTACCAATATTATGTCCTTGATAACACCTGCTACCTGGTTCATTACCAGGCAGAGTAGTCCAGCACACTTAGTTACTGAGTGGAGCATAGAACTGACAAGTGGATTATAGAATTGTCAAGTGTCCTCGCCATCACGCGTCGTGAGGACACTTGACAAGCTCTGGGACTGACTCCTAGTAATCTCTGAATCAATACACTGTGCTTATATTAGGTCCTTTCCTACCTTGCACAAGATCATGCATTGAAATCTACTTAATGAACAAGGTGAGGAAATTGGACTTATAGGAACATAACATAAGAAAGAAGGGACACTGCAGCAGGCCTACTAGCCCATGCAAGGCAGGTCCAAGTCTCCTACCGGCTTAAGCCAATGCCCCGACCTAGTCAGGTCAGGTCACATTCACCTAAGGAAGGAGCACGGCATCTGACCTAGCAGCACAAGCTAGTCATGTCCAGCTCACGCCCACCCGCACCCACTCATGTATGTATCTAATCTATTTTTAAAACTACACAACGTTTTAGCCTCTATAACTGTACTCGGGAGTTTGTTCCACTCACCGACAACTCTATTACCAAACCAGTGCTTCCCTATATCCTTCCTGAATCTGATTTTTTTCCAGTTTAAAGCCATTGCTGCGAGTCCTGACTAGGCTAGATGTTTTTTAGCACGCTATTTACATTCCCTTTATTTATTCCTGTCTTCCATTTATACATCTCAATCATATCCCCCCTAATTCGACGCCTTTCTAGAGAGTGCAGATTCAGGGCCCTCAGTCTATCCTCATATTGAAGATTCCTGATACATGGGATCA